CTTAAACCCCGTCTTCATCTGAATGGTGGCACAATGTGGAATCCCCTTCCTTCTTCCCCCCCCCCCCCCCCTTTCCCTCTAAGAGACGGCACTTCGAAGTTTGATGCAAAAACGCATGATCGCACCGGCTCGCCTGGTGCGTTCCAGCTTGGGTTTAAACTCATTTCTGTCGCATATCAACCCGACCTGAGAAAATAAACAAAAAAGATTATATTAATCCGATTTCAGGCCGACGAAAAGCACTGACTCTTTAGCCAGTCGGAATTTATTCGAAAAAAATTTGGCGGAAAAAGAACTAAACTGTCATAAATTAACTGTTGGTAATCCAAAGCATGAATAACGCTGGATTCAAACGGATGGGTCAAAATTCGCTGAATCTACGTCTCAACGACAATTCAGAAGCCATATGACAAAATGCCATCATTTTGCGCACTTTATATACCGTCACTTCTGGCAAAGCGAGCAACGAAAGGCTTCGATGAAAATCAAAGTTCATGATGCGATGACCCTGATCGCGATATGTAAAAGAAAATTGCTGTCACGATCGCTGTACTAAGAAAGCAAAATTAGTTACACGTAGACTTTTAATCAATTGAAAAAAAAAATGTTCTAAAATCCGATACCACGGAAGATTCTCACGGCCAATCAGGCCAGTCAGGATCGGGCAATCGTCTAAAAACAGCAGACCATTTGGAGCCTTCGTTACGTGTCACTTTTTGTCCCTCTTCTGTACTATCATAGAGCAGTTCCACGATCGGATCGCTTTTCATCTCTTCGTCACTTAAACGCACAAACAACGGATGAGCAGCGAGATGTTTTACCATCCACCGATGGAGCTCCTCCACATCTGTTATTGTGTATATCAAACCTGAAGAAATACCCTTTTCATTCAGCGATGCGAAAATTTGGCTCTGCAAAGTTAAGGACAGATTTCTGGAAATGAACAAAATTTTAAATGCGCACAATTTTAGCCATTAACTTGCTTCTAAGCAACTCACCAAAAAGAAGCACTGTCAACTGGTAGATGCTGTTGACTTTTACTACTATTAAGGCCAAATTTCCAAGTCCCTCCGTTTGCAATATCATGTGAA